GCTGTGCCTGCTGCACTGGTTACTCCTTGTCACTAGCCCCAGAGTAGTGTAGGTCCCCAGTGCTGCCTGGCTGAGCTGGAGAAGCTCTTGCATCCACCAGGCAGTGGGGTTGGGTGATCTCTGCTGACAATGAGCCCTGCAGGCGAGTCTTCCACTGCACCATCCTGCCTGGCTCAGTGTGGGGGGATGTGCCAGAGGGCAGGGGCTGGCAGTGACCTCTGCTCACAGGCAGAGGGAAAGGGGCACAGTGATGCCTCTATGAGGGCACAGGCAGGCAGAGCAGCTGCAGTTCAGCTTTCTAGGGCAGGCAGATGTAGAAATCAAGTGCAAACTGAGGATGGAGTGGATTAATCCTAGAAAAGCTGCCCTCTAATAAGAGGGGGATGGTGGCGGGAAAGCCCATGGGCCACATCCGCTGCAGCAGACTGAGACTGTGTAAAGCCCAGGGCAGAAGGCAGGCATGGCATTGCGCGTAGCAGGAGCCTTCACTCCTGGCCACAGTGCCTCAGGAGGCTTCAAGCCAGGGTCAGATGCTGGGGCAGTGAGAGCTGAGCTTAGTCCCTGGCTGGGCTGTGCAGTGGGCTTAGGGTCAAGGCACTGCAGCCCCTGTGGAGTTGGAACCAGAGGACAGCCCCAGGGGTGCAGTGGATGGCATGAAGCCTTGCAGGCAGGCAGATGGATGCACCTCCCACCTGCCCACAGAAGTTGAGGATGGGAGAATGCGAGTCCAGCTGAGCTGCTCCTGCTGGGAAGCCAACCCAGAGGGGTAGGCAGGACCCTCCTTGCAGGGGTGTGGGGAAGGGATGGGGCGACCCACAACGAGCAGCGGCTGACCACAGCCCTCTCCGCTTGCTCCGGCCAGGACCGCGTCCGGTGGAAGGCTTTGAGATCACGAACGTGACAGCCAGTGCCATCACGGTGCAATGGGCTCTCCACCGGCTCAAGCACTCCACTGTCAGTAGGGTGCGTGTCTCCATCCGCCAGCCGGGGGACCTGGCAGACCGCACCGTGGAGCTGAACAGCAGCGTGGCCAAGTACACCTTCCTGTGAGTGGGGCAGCAGGCAGGCGCTGGGCCAGCTGGCCCTCCCAGCCTGCCCGGCTTACCCCTGCCCACCCTGCCTTCTTCCTCCACAGGGACCTGCAGCCAGGAGAGAGGTACATTGTCCATGTCACGACACTGAGCGGCGTGGGGACAGAAGACCACCTCTCGGAGAGTCTGGCCACGGCCACCCTCCACCCATTGA